TGCAATCTCTGGCACTGCTCTACAAGCTGCAGTGGCATCTCTGGGGCCAAAACTTGGAATGCTTAATCCCTGCACCCTTAGCACCCACCAGCACCAGTGTCTTCCTTACATGTCTGTCTTCACCACTTTGTCCAGCCCTGTCTGTGCTGTCTGGGCCCTGTCTGGGCTTTCTCTGGGGTGCAGCTGCTGGTGGTGCWGTGATCCTGTATTTGCATGTGTTGTGGTGTGGCATTTACCCCGGTGACACCAACCATGGAAGCACCTGCTGCTCTGGAGGAAAGTGTCCCAGTGAGCTGTAGCACTGTTTGGGTCAGTTCCTCTTCTGTCCTTCATTTCTAGTGCTCCTGAATCTCTTGATTGCTTGCTGTCCTTGGGTCAGCCCAGAGCTCCATGCTGCCCAACAGCTGAGGGCATCAGAAAGGCTTTAATGCCCCTACAAGGAGAGATTTGGTTTGTGGAGGTTTGTGGAGCATCAGTGACAGTTGGGAAAGGAGGATGAGGAGGGGCAGCTTTGTCCTTTTGCATTTAACTGCTCTGCTTGTGGGGCTGGGGGCATTTCTGGGTCTTGGCTTCCTGAACTCTGGGTATTGTGTCTGAAAATATCCCTTCCCACCTTGGCAGAGGGAACGACCATCCTGCTGGGGCTGCCCATGAGGCTTGATAGTCTGCAAAAAGGTTTTGGTCCAGGCCCAGAGAAGGGACTGTGACAGTCCCTCATCTGAAGCTGTTATTTTTTATTCAACATGTTTCTCAGGACTGGGACAGGGCTAATAGTGCTGCTGTGATCAAGGCTGTGTTTTTTACTGGTTTTCATAGCCAGGCACCAGGTCAACAGTGGAAGGAAAATCAGCAGGCACCTGAGAAGTCACAGGGTACCTGTTTGGTGGGCAGAAAGCACGTGAGAGATGTTTCATAATGCAGCCAAATACTTGTGCAGTGCTGTGGCTTGCATTGTGCTGTAGCTGTGAAGCWCATGGGGCACTCTGGCAGGATCAGCTGCTGAGGTGGGTCCTGACTCATGCCCACTGGAGTGAGTGGTGCAGGTGCGAGGCTGGGAGAAACCCAAGCATGTGCTGGCTGGAGAGTGCTGGTCCCTACAGTGCCAAGTCTGTGCTGCACCGAGTGCTGCACGTGATGGGTTCATGAAATGGGCTGACAGCTCACGGCCTTGGACATTTAGCACACGAGGTAAGTCAGATGTACAAATCAATGAAARCTGATTTTTAAAATACCCATTTGTAAGACCCCAGACAGACTGTAAGGTGCAGACTGCTGTTGGGAAAGGGCRCTCTTCTGTCCACTCCCCTTGGTCCCCAGGGGCAGAATGTAGCCCAGTCCTGAGATATGGAGCAGCAGGTGCTGGGATGAACAGGCTGGGGGACTGCTCTGATATGCTTTGAGCTCTGCTCTTGGCTTCCAGAGGARCTGATGATGTCCTGATCCTTTTACTGCCTGCTCCTCTCCTCCTCCCATCACTTGGGCTCACCCAGGCWTCATGGACACTGCAGCACCCAAAGGCCAGCTTCTCATCATCCCAAAGTCCTGCTGTGGCTCCCTTCCACAACCCTGCTGATCCCAGTATCTGGGACAGCCTCAGGATCTTGCTGGAGGATAAAGAAATATGGTTGTATCCAGAATTCTGTCACACAAGCAGAGAGAAGCTGTTTCAAGCAGGCTCTAGGACTCAGCTCATAGCCCAATGGGCAGCAAGCAGCCAGCTCTGCCTCTTCGGTCTCAGACATGATTGCAGTGTGGAAGCTGCTGAAAGAAGACCAAGTTGTACTTTTTTGCTCTCCCATGCTTACTTGATAGTTTTCCCTACAAAGTTTTTTTTTTTTTTTTTAATCTGCCTGACCACTTTGTGGGTTGTTTGCAAGGTTTATTTAAAGTTCTGTATGCACATGCCAGAAATGCGGTGCCATTAGGGTGGCTTTTTGTGTTCCATTTTTTTTTTACTGTGTCAGTGCATATTGGCAAAGTTAATCAACTACTTCAAAAGGAAATTCATTTGCTTCCTGCCTTTACATGTTTGGTTCCCATCTTGGGAAGGAGGAAGGAGTTTCAAAAGTCACAAGGAGTACARATAGAATTAAAATGCAGTAAAATACCTATCTGCCTGAGCAACTTATTGTACAAGGGTCAAAAGTGCCCCAGGATGTCCTGTTGCAGGGAATGGGGTGCTTTGGGCTTGCTGCTAGAAGGGATCTGGTGCAGACGGGGTGATGTGGCACTCACCTGAGTGCTGTGTCACCAGACAACCATGTCCTGATTGGGCTGGGGAGAGCCTGGCATGTGGCTGGGTTTGAGCACTGGGGCTGCCCAGGAGCTGCTGTGTAGGGGAGCACAGTGAGTTGCTGTCCACCCTCACTTCCTCCCAGGGCTTCTCAGACTGCATGTGTGGTCCTTCTCATCCCCATGCAGCTCCTCACACTGATCTCCTCTGCAGAGCCATGCAAGGGGGCACCTGCAGGTCTGCCTYCCTTCTCCCAGCTCCTGTCCAAATGACAGTTCTGCTTGCTCTGAAAGCTGCCCAGTGGAGAAGGATCTGGTGGTGCTGCTCAGTAGTGGCTGATGTGAGCCAGGTGGCCAAGAAAGCCAGTGACACCTGGCTGTAGCAGACATAGTGTGGCCAGCAGGACCAGGGCTGTGACCATCCCCCTGTGCTGGGTACTGGTGAGACCCCAYCTCAAATCCTGGGGTGGCCCCTTTCTCCAAGAAAGATGCTGAGGTGCTGGTGTGTGTCCAGAGAAGGGCAGCAGAGTTGGGGAAAGGTCAGGAGCAACTGGAGGAGCTGTGAGAGCTCAGCCTGGAGAAAAGGAGGTTCTGAGGGACCTTCTGGCTCTCTACAACTCCCTGACAGGAGCAGCCAGGTGGGGATTGGGCTCTGCTCCCCAGGAACAAGGGACATGACAAGAGGAAATGGCCTCAAGGTGTGCCAGGAGAGATTTAAGTTGGATATTAGGAAAATTTCTTCATTGAAAGGGTTGTTTCTTCATTGAAAGGCATTGGAACAGGCTGCCAGGGCAGCAGTGGAGTCACCATCCCGTGAAGTGTTGAGAAAATGTGTGGCTGACTTGAGGACATGGTTTGGAGGTGATGYTGGGCTGATGGTTGGACTTGTTCATCTTGGAAGACTTTTCCAACCTTAATGATTCTATGATTCTTTGAGGTTTTCTTCTGGCTGTCTGCTCATCAAGTTGTGCTCCAAATGGCTTTAGAATCAATGAAAGTTCCTTGACTGTGAGCACAGGAGTGTTCAGATGATTCAGGTCACATCCCTAAAATATTGTGGTTATGAGTTCTCTCAGCTGAAATTCCTGGCCAGGCTCATACCTGTCTCTGCAGCATCCTYTCCTCTGCTGGTGACCAGCTCAGTGTCCCATCCCAAATGCTGCAGAACCTGCTGCCCCTGGGGCTTTAACCAGCCCAGCTGCCCCCCTGTTCCATGCTTGGATTTGCCAGCTCCCCCTTTGCCTTCCCATTTCCACAACAGTTGGCTGTGCTTCTAGTCCCATCCTTACCCTTCTGCTCTGTCTCACTGAACATTCCTGGTGCAGTTAAATCTGCACTTTCCTGTGTACCCCCTGCCCTGCTCCCCTCTGGCCCACTCTCTCTGTGTGCTTCTGGCCAGCCATGTCCTCAGGTTACCTGTGCTGAGGTCTCAGTAATTTCTTGCATCCCTGCCACCACCTCTTCTGTATTGCTGCTTAAATGGTGGTGTCAAGGCAGGAAAGGAGCTTTGTGTGCAGGGTTCTCAGATGGGTCCCTTCCCTTGCTGTCTGTTCCAAAGCAGGTATTGTACTCAAAGTCTGGCAGCAGGATGTGTCTGACTGGCCTGACAGCCCAGGCCCTGATAGTCCCTTCCCTGCTCTGCCTATTATTTTCAATAATATTCTCCCAAGTTTTATTTAGAAATAAAATTTAAAACATCTTGAATGAGGCAGTCATCTTTGTGCAGGGAAGAAGGAAGAATCTGCAGCCCAGCAAACACAGATCCCAGTAAAGATGTGCTGTAACAATTCGGTATCTGTAAGAACAGAATTGCTTCTTGCTATTCTAAAAAAGGAAAGGAAAGGCTGAAAATAGCATATCCCAGGAAAATAGAACAATTGCTGTTGCTGAAGTTAAGTATCTAAAATGAACCCACACTGGAAGCAAATCAGGACTTCCAAAAGAAGGGAACATTTGGAGATTGGGAGAATCACAGCATTTTAGAGCTTCACAAGCAAAGGAACCTGAGGGCTGGATTTGGGACAGATGCTCTTATAGCTCGGCCTTGCTGCAGATCCCAGTGCCCCTGTTTTGCACAGCCCCTTCACCAGTTACAGAGTCCTGGGTTTCTGTTGAAGCTCAGTCCAAGATCTATCAGATCCTTACTAAGCAAGGCTTTACTGAACTGACCTCCTGCAATGCCTGCTCCTCAGTGATCCAGAGGAGAGCCCAGGAGCTTCTGCATTCACCACTGCCTTCCCCTGCACACCTGCCCCACAGCTGCTCTTCAATTTCCTTTGTTAGTTCTTAAACCTAGACTTGACACAGTCTGGTTCCATTTTGGAGAAGGTTTATTTAGAGTCAGGCACATCTGCCCAGACTGCACAGTGCAGGGGAGAGCACCGTGCTGTAGGGAGTGTTAACAGCCTGCATGGGAGAAAAACGCTACGTCCTTGGCTGTCTTGAGAAAAAGAGATTAGAATGTAGAATTGATAATGCAGGTGGCTTACAATTATAAACGTTACTAATACTGTAGCTTTTGCAAACCTACCAATCCTATGCTGTTGAGTAGAAAGTGACAGCCTCACTGACCAATGTATGTGTGACACAAATGTATGCACTGGTTGCTAAAGTGGATAAAAGAGGCCTGTCCCAGAATAAAGGGGTTACTTTTTGTGTGTGTATATGTGTGTCTTTGTGTCTGTTATTTTGTGTTGGCTGTCTGGCCAACAGCGACACCGTGCACACTGCCTGCCACCCACTGACCCCTTGTCCTGTCCTTCCCGCAGTGGCTGAAGGACCCTGGGCCCCGCAATGAGAAGAGGACGCTGTTCTGTGACATGGTGTGTTTCCTGTTCATCACTCCACTGGCGGCCATCTCGGGCTGGCTGTGTCTGCGCGGCGCCCAGGACCACCTGCAGTTCAACAGCCGGCTGGAGGCCATCGGACTCATAGCACTCACTATAGCACTTTTCACAATCTACGTCCTTTGGACACTGGTAAGTGCCAGCTGCCAGCTCCTGCTCCAACTGCAACTGGAAGCACTGGCTCACACCTCATCRGTGCCACCTGCTATTTCTGCTTCCCTGTGTGAGAGCACCTTGGGCTCTTCCACTCAAATGTCCATTTAGTTATCTTCATGTGCAAACTGCTAAAGTTGTTGCTGAGAATGAGAAACCACTCCCTGGTCATCTGCTTTCTAGACTCAGTGATCCCAAAGTGTTGGGCATTCAGCACAGACATGCTGGAGCTTGGATGGGGCTGGGGCTGGGGCTGGGTCAGGCAGTGGCCCATCTGTTGTTCAAGAAGAAACACAAACTTAGTACCTGGGCAGTGAAGGGGAAAAGTAAAATCTGGAACATGTTTGACACCTAAATAATCTATCATGTCCCTCTGTGCTTTGTGCTGCCCAGCACAGACTGGCCGTGCCCACTGAGGGTGCAGACTGGCCTTGGGGGTCTCTGGCCACCTCTTAACAAATTCCTACACAGTATTTTTAAGGTGTGAATAACATGGAAGGTGTGTGCAAGGAACTCTCTGGCCCTGGGGAAACCAGTAGCTTCTCTGATGCTGGGTTTTGGAGTCAGCCCCGAGTCAAAGCTGGGTAGCCAGCCTGCCCTGGCCTGCTGCTGTGTGAGGGCATAGAGGAGTGCTGGGAACGTGTGCATGAGCCAGTCTGGGTGTGGAACTGATCCCTGCTGGGAAAGAACTTCCTGCAGATGCCTTTCTTGGCATCTCTGGATGTGCTGAATTAGGGAGCCAGGGGCTTGCAGGGAGCTGAAAAGAGCAGGAGAGTAAATGCAGGTTTGGGTGTAGCACAGGCAGAGGCCCCCAGCTGGGGRCAGCTCCCTGTCTGGACCCTCCCCAGGACTGCTCTCTCTGGAGGGCTGTTTCCCATTCACTTTTTTTGTCTTCTGTTGCTGAGTGGATTTCTAGGTTTGGATCTTCATTTTGGCTCTCCCATTCCAGGCCCTGAGTGTGCTCATACCCTGTCAGTGCCTTTTTCCAGCTGCTTGTGGGGAAGCACTGTTTTGGGAAGCAAAGAGGTGCAGCTGCTGCAGGAGAAATAGTGGGACCCCAAAATGCTGGCAGTTATGTGGGCAATAGAAATTCCCWAGTCCATTTCCCTGTGGTCTCATGCTCCAGTTTCTCAGAGTAACCCCTTCCACTGGGGCTGGACACTCCTTGCAACTCTTACCCCACAGACTCAGGAGCCAGGGCAGGATGAGCTGATGGAGCAGCAGCCTCTGCTCTGGGGCCAAGAGTGCCTGGGGGCAAAGTTGGAGCCACTCCTTGCATGGAAGCCGTGGAGGAAAGTCTCCATGCTGCATGTTCCTGCATGAAGCTTGTTTCTGTAGGAAGCCAAGCTAAAATTGGAAACCTTAAGAGGAAGTGTTTCCGTCTTCTCTGTCCAGGTGGGGAGGAGCTGGAGACCTGGAGGAAATGGAAAAATGTTTGAGCAATAACAAGTCCTGACTAAAACGGCTCTAATTCTGCTGTGCTTCAYTTTTCCTTGAGCAGAGGAGGACATTAGGTGACGCAGCTTTATTCATATTCAGCTCATTCAACCCTGGGCTGTGCAGCACAAGGGGCCCRTGTGTGGGAAGGGGGTCATGGCTGTAATCAGCATGAGGGTGGTGAGAGAGGCTGTAGCCAAGGGTGCAGCTTCTTCATGAGGAGCAGGAGCCTCCCTTGAGGTTCCCACCATTAGCTCCCCATTCTCTGAAGACTGGGAGATGCGTTTGTCAGCAAACAACCTTACTGCCATAGTCCCTCTGCAGTAGGAAGGAGGGGTGTGCACAGATCAATAAGCTCCATTGCCACAGTGCCACAGCTTCGTTTCTCATTACATGTGTCGCAGATCCATCCAGAAGTAGTAGTTTACTGAGTTTTCCATGTCAAATGCACTTCCTGGTACATCCTAGTTGCCAGCTAAATGCTTCCTGTGGGTTTAGATCGGTGGCTGATTGGATTCGGGATTTAAGCCGAGCTTGAAGCTCCCCTCGCAGGGCTGCTCTGAAACTGCAGGGCCAGCTCCTACCTCTGCCGGGCTGCTCTGGGTCCCTGCAGCCTTTGCATCCTCCCCTGTTTCCCTCCGGGTGGACAAGTCTCCCAGGCCACGTTGTTGCCAGGAAAAAAATGAGAACATCTGCTGTCCTATTGTTGCAGACCAAGGAGGGGATGATTTTGCCCAGGGTGAAGAAGGTCCTGTGGTCTCTGTGGATGGGAGGAGGCCGGTTGGGTTCACACTGTTGTTTTGCCCCACCAAGGTGCTGGCTGCTGCCTGGGGCTGGCTGTGGCTCATCTCCACCACATTCCACAAGCCTGAGCCCAAGCCCAGCTGAGTAAATCCCGTCTTGTTGTGCTGGTGCTGCCCAGAAGGGCCCTTTGTCTGTGCTCCATGCAGCCTGGTGTCACAGGAAGGGGTTGATTGCTCATCAGAGACTGGGGACAGGGAGTACCCCAAACTCTGCTGGGGTCAGTGCTGTCTCCCTTGCCCTGGGGTAAGGGATGCTGAGGCACAGGGGTGCTGGCATCTGGCTGTCCCCATGTGCTGTGGCGCCAGTGGCGGGGGTTGGTGACAGAGCGCTGCGTTCTCCCCGCCAGGTCTCGTTCCGCTACCACTGCCAGCTGTACTCGGAGTGGCGAAGGACCAACCAGAAAGTCCGCTTGATGATCCCATCCTCGCGGAGCCCTCACCCCGTGCCCCACTCCCTCCTGTCCGCCAAGCTCATGAAGAAGACTGCGGATGAAACCACCGTCTGAGCCTCCCGTGGCCGGCCGAGGGGGAGGGTCGAGTGTCCCCGAAGGCCCAGGGAATGCGGCAGCCCTGGGGACACTGGAGAACAATCATCCCATCCAAAGGAACTCTGTGCTCAGCACGTGCTTTAGACCTTGGCAAAGAGACACATAATCCACATCTGTGTGTGAAACACCCAAAAGAGCCTGATGGCAGAAAATGCCTGTCTGCAGGGATGCTTTCTTATAACTAAATACCATATGTGGAAAAACATCTCCCTCTCTCTMTATATATATATCTATATATAATATTTTTTAATGGCCATGCATATTGTGTTTYAGTCCTTTTGTGTTGATGTTCTCTAAGCTTCAGGATAGAAGCTGGCAGCCTGATCTCATTCAGAGGTTAAATCAATGCCTTTTTTTCCAAATGACCGTATGAAGAACACTTTTCATCAACCATTCTTGAAAGTCCTCTTCTCCTTTGCACTAAATTGGTTTTGATATACTGCAGCAGCCTTCCCATTACTCTTTGGTCTCTTTTGTGGTGTTCTGTCCTTTCTAGRAAGTTGAGTGTTTTTAATAATTATTATAATCCCAGAAGGAGTAAAATTATGTAATACCGAATGGAGACATTTTGTATTGTAAAGTACTGTAATTTTGAGAATTTCRAAATCAGTTTCAGAATGAGAGAATCTTTTCTGGTGCAGACATTATCTCACAAAATGCTTTCCTTGAGATCCTGGCTCATCCCCAGGCCTCAGATGCACTCAGCTCTTGGTCTGTCTGGCAAAGGTAGATGGAGGATCCGAGGCTGGGGAGTGATGGCTCCACAYTAGCTAAACCCACCGTTGCCTTTTGCTTTGAAAAGATTGAGGAAGGAGCTTTCCTGAGCCCGGAAGGTGGGAGTTGGAGTCTCTGTTTGCTGATGTCCTTTCACTACCTTGAGGCTGGACCTCCCATAGCATCAGTTCCACACGTACCTTAGGGGACAGGCTGTGCCCTGCGGCACTGGTAGGACGCAGGTGCTCTTGGCTGTCTCTGCGCTTTATTTGCACATTCCAGAGGAGCTGCTGCGATTGGGTTTGTCCTTGGCAGCACTGTCTGCCTGTTGCATCCTCTAGTGAAACTCCCCAGTTTGCTGGTTGCCAGAGAACGGGCTCTGGGTTGCTTGTCCTGTGGGGCTGGTGTTCCTCCTCCTCCTCCTTTCACCTGCATTTCCAGCACATGCAGCTCTCAGTGCCCCCTCTGCCAAGAGTCTCCCTGGTTTGGCTTTGGTCCTGCCAGACAGTGCCTGTGCCTGGTGCTGAGCTTTCCTGAGCCTCCCGAGTGGTTAGGGCTGTGAGGATGCCAGTGGTGACACTCCAGAGGTTTGTGCAGCTGCTTGGCTGGAGCCTGGGCTCTGGGGCTCTGGCTCTGTGGTGATGAGGGTAGAAAACAGGTGGGAGGCAGGMTTCAAGGGGCCCGTGTCCTTGCAGTGGGTGGTGGCAGTCACACACTATGTCCCTCTGCCCCTTTGCTGAAAGCAGGTGGATCAGTGCAATGCCCTGCRAGATGGAGATCTGTAATTTCCTCAATTCAAAGCACCACCTCCTCCTCCTTGTCTCTAGCTGCAAAGCAGAATGTTTATGTGTTCTCTCATCCTGGACTGGAAGCTACTGATGGCATGAACAGCAGGACCCATGTGCTGTCTCTACCAACAGGATTGCTCCAGCCCTGGGCCCTGSTCTCTGTCTGCCCTTCTCTCCCAGGGTTCTGGTGTAACTTGGGCATACCCTGTCACATCTTGCAGCAGCCTCTCGGTGCCCTGAGGGCTGCTCTGAGCTGGTCTCTCCTCCAGGCACGGGGGCTGGTGTGACCACGGGGTGAATGTCCTCTGCCACAGCCAGGCCACACATCTCTGCTTCACTCCAGCCCCCTGCCTGTCCCTTCCCTTCTGCCACACACACCCACAGCCACCTGCCCTTCTCCAGTCATGCACTCGTGCAGGGATTACTCTGCCCTTGRTACTCTTGGTGGAGAGGCTGCTGTAGCCCAGCTCCAGGCGCAGCCCCTGCTCCAGTCTCATCCCGGTCCCCGCTCTTCACACCTCTTCCATGACAGCAGGCTCTGCACCACTGCTCTGTGCCTTCTCCTGGGTGTCCCTTCCTTCAGCCCCTTCCCAATAATCCCCTTGTCAGGATGTCACCAGTGAAGAAAAAAATGAGGGAGTGCTTTGATCTTCCCAGCCCTGGCTGCCTCCCAGGAGCTTTGGCCTTGCAATGCCCCACGTTCTGGCAGGTGATGAGGAGTGGTCTCTTCCACAGCACGTCCCCAGAGTAAGGACTTAATGGAGCCAGTGTTCCAGTTAGGAAACCCACTGTCAATCCAAATATGCAACTGTGAAAGCCAGAAGCCCCTGGCTGGGGCAGTGGGGGCCCTTGTGCTGCTGTGTGGCTGCAGCTGCACTTGGCATCCTTGGCTTTATTGTCGTTGCCAATAATTGGAGTTGTTGCATGTGCCCCTTCAAGACCCAACAGCGACTCTTTGAGTCTTTTCCTCCTTCCCAGAGGAGATGTTCAACTCGTGACTGTGGGCAATCGGTGTCTGACCCACCACGTTGCAGTGCGTTCTGGGGAAACGGGCTGTGCAATGATGTAAATAAAAGTGAGACAAACTTTTGGGCTCTTGTGTTTTTACTGGAGGGGCCAGGGGCTGCAGAGCCCAGGCTGCCACCCCGAGAGCAGCCTGGGTACCGTCTGCCCGGGCAGCTGCCCTAAGCAGCCCCTGGAGCCACAGCAGGAAGTTTCAAAGCTGGACAAAACCTCGGGCTTTTATCATTTCTAAGCAGTTTCACTGTCACTGCACAGAAACCTCCCTGGCGTGGTCCAAGCAAGACAATGACATTTGAGCCAAGTCAGGAGTGCTTTGGCCCCTGGC